TGTCTGTCTATATATATGTATGTGTCTGTGTTTATCTGTGTGTGTGTATATGTGTGTCTGAGCATGTATGCATGTATGTGTGTATGTCTGTGTGTTGGGGAAATGGGAATTGAAATCAGGGCCTTGCATATTCTAGGCAGGTGCTCCACCACTGAGCCATACCCAGCCCCTCACTGAGGGATTCTAGGAATGTAGGTGCTCTACCACTGAGTTCTATTGATAGCCCTCTTTTCATTTTTATTTAATTTTTTTACCATCTGGTTATTTTTATAATTTTTTTTAAATTTAAATTTGAAACAAGCTTGTTTTACATGTCAATCCCAGCTCCAGAACCCTTCCCCCATCTTCCCTTTTTCTGCCCCCAAGACAGGGTTTCTCTGTATTGCTTCGGAGCCTGTCCTGGAATTCACTCTGTAGAGTAGGCTGGCCTCGAACTCACAGAGATCCGAGTGCGTCTGCCTCCTGAGTGTTGGGATTAAAGGCATGCGCCACCAATGACTGGTCTCATTATTTTACTTTAGGATGGGATCTCACTAAGTTGCCCAAATTGGCTTTGAGCTTATTCTAAAGTCCAGGCATCCCTTGAATAAAACTGATCTTCCTAGCCCAGCCTCCCGAGTGGCTGTGATGACAGGTCTGTGCCATCTTAAATCTGTTCTTGGCTTGGGAGTGTTTAGATGGCTCCACAGGCCTCTGAAGAGAGGGTTGTCTGACTGGCATCTCTCCCAAACTCCAGAGACACCAGGCCACGTGGCCAGATTGAAAAGAAATGTCCCTGTGGTTTTTCTGTGGTCTGGATGCATCTGCCAGGTGTTTCAATGGCCCGTGTCACAGTGCCACATGTCAGCATGCACAGGGGGAATCTGGGCCTCCAGCCCTGTCCTCTCTGCACTAGTGCTCGTCAGTGCTGTCTACGGAAATTGTGAACCTCACTGGATGGGATCCAAATGCAGGGAATTCCATTGTTCTGGCTGAGGCCCCAGCATCTGGGGGCTGGGCCCAGGCTGGACATGTCCAACTGGGTCCTGGCTCTCTCCCAGTGGCTGCAGGACTTGGGACAGCCTTTTAGGAGCCTCAGCCCAACCACAACCACCTCCCTTCCTAGGGGGATAGCCCCTGGAGGACTCCCGACCTCAATCGCTAGGTCCTTTGTTTCGAATGTTTCTACCAGGTGCTCCCAGTAGCTCAGCCTTCAGTGTTATCTCCGCACCAGCTTTTGATTTCCTTTTTCCAAAACCAGGTTTCTCTGTCCTGGAACTATGTAGACCAGGTGGGTCTCTTGAATTCAGAGATCCATCTACCTCTGCCTCCTAAGTGCTACCATGCCCTTAAAAATTGTATGTGGTATTTGTACATATGTACATTTGTGGGCAAGTACACTCACCCGTGTAAATGGGTATGAAGGCCAGAGGTTGACATCATATATCTTCCTCTACTATATTCCGCCTTATTTTTGAGATGGGGGCCTCTCAGGAAACCTGGAGCTCACCAATTAGCTAGACTGGCTGGCTGGCTGGCTGGTCCCCAAGATCTGCCTGTCTTTGCGTCCTACCTCCAACACTGGGTTTACAGGTATATATCATTATAGCTGGCTTTTACATGGCTGTTAATGGACTCAAACTTGAGTCCTCATACTTTCACAGCAAGCACTTTACCCACTGAGCCAGCTTCCCATCCCTGTCTTTGGCTCACAAACCCTACTTTAGTCAAAATGAAGGAAGAGAGGGAGAAAAGGAAGGAGGAAGGAAGGAAGAGTTGGTAGCCTGAAACTGAACCATGGTGGTACCTTGACTAACTGGTGATTCTCTGAGTTTCCTGGTCAACGGTGAGACCAGGTTCTTTTCCTATAGAGAGGAAAAAAGTCCCGTCTCTAGACATAGTTGCTCTGGATGAGCAGGAAGCATAACAGCTCTGGGTGGACAGTGCTAGCCAAAGTGGGCAGGATGGAGGGCCTTCCTTCCTGCCCTGTGCCCATAGTCACTACTTGGCATTCTCTCCTTTAACTCTCATTCTCCCAGGAGACTCTGCCAATTTCACAGGGCTCCTCTCTCCAGCAACTCCTGAGCAACATTAGGATGGGGACTCAGTTCCACCAGGGGAGGTGCTGATTGTCCTGGTCTACACTATGTGTTAGGGAACCTTTTATCTATTACATTTAATTGTCTCACTCTGTGCATAGTGCACACATGGAGGCCAGAGGAACAATTTGTGGGGTCTCTCCAGGACCATGTGGAGTCAGTCCAGGGATCGAACTCAGGTCCTTAAGCTTGGCAGCAAGCCACCTTTACCGGCGAAACTACCCTTCTTGATTTCTCCACATTGAGACAGCCCTTGTAACTTTTCCTTCAAGGACTCCCCCAGGAAAGGATTTCGCTGACTAAGTACACTACTAATTAACCAAAATTAGCACATTTCCTGTCTCCCCTTCCCTCCCTACCCCACATGACTATTTAGATAAGGTCTTACAACTTAGCCCAGGCTGACTTTAAATTTGCAATGTAGCCCTGACTTCACACTTGTGGTGGCACACACCTTTAATCCCAGCACTCAGGAGGCAGAGGCAGGTGGATGGATCTCTGTGAGTTCGAGGCCAACCTTGTCTACAGAGACAGAGAAACCCCATCTCAAATAAATAAACAACAAACAAAAAACATGTTATAATCATCTTCCTATGTGTGTATCTCCACACTTGGCTTTTACACAATTTGCCCATCATTATGAGGGTTGTTTCTTCTTCTTCTTCTTCTTCTTCTTCTTCTTCTTCTTCTTCTTCTTCTTCTTCTTCTTCTTTTCTTCTTCTTCTTCTTCTTCTTCTTCTTTTTCTTCTTCTTCTCCTTCTTTGTTTTTTCGAGACAGGGTTTCTCTGTAGCTTTGGAACTAGTCATGGAACTCACTTTGTAGTCTCACAGAGAACCCCTAAACCTCATACCTACATGTATGAACCCTGGCAGTACCACCACCATCATCACTATTGTTAGGACTAAGCAAGGATACAGGGGCTGTCTGTGGAAGGACCAGAAACTGTCGCAGCTCATCACAGTTCCTGATGTTATTGTTCATCTTTAGAAACTACAGACCCTTATGGCAGTAAGGGAGGGCGGCAGGACTGGACTGGTCCATACTTTACAAGAGAGTCAGGTTAGCAGCCTAGCCAGGTCCACTGGGGTGGGTATCTTACCTGCTATCTTAGGGTTTCTATTGTGCTAAAAACACCATGGCCAAAAAAGCAAATTGAGGAGGAAAAGATTTATTTGGCTTACACTTCAGCATTGCTGTTCGCTGAAAGAAGCCAGGACAGGATTCCAGAAGCAGGAACTGATGCAGAGGAGGGGAATCATGGCTTGCTTGGCCGATGTTCTTATAGGACACAGGTCCAGCATCCCAGGGATAGCACCGCCCACCATAGGCTGGGCCCTTCCCCATTGGTCACTAAAAGAGAAAATGTCTTACAGCTGGATCTCTAGGAGGCATTTCCTCAGCTGAGGCTCCTTCCTCTGAAGACTCTAGCTGGTGTCAAGTTGTCACATAAAGCCATCCAGTACACCTGCTGTACTGACTCCAGCATTCATCACACACTGAGGAGGATAGCTCATCAGGCCAAGTGGCCTTAGTCTTAGGAGGCTTAGGGGCTATTCGTTGTGATTTGGTCCTGGAGTAACTTTATGGACCTTAAGGGGTGGAGAACTTCTATTGCTCCAGGCTGTTTTCCAGCTGGGTGGCTTCCTGAAAGCCACCCAAAGCACAGAAACCCACAGGCCTATAAGGTCCTCTGCTCTTGGGCCACAATGAAAGAAAGCAAGTCCCTCAGACATTCGGATGAGCTGAAAGACAGGTCTGTCAGGAAGCCACTACCCAGCCTGTCTGGAGGGGGCTACCTGGCAGATGGAGGAAAATCTGATGTGTGCCCAGTTTCTAAGAACACTAGGGGTCCTGCAATAAGGCCCCAGAATTGTGAGGGGACAGAGACCTGAGGGTGTGCAGGCCAACCCTAGGAGAAGAGCAAGAACATGGGAGGGACACTGAGTCACGCAGCCACTGTGCCCCCACCCCCATACCCTTTCTATAGGCTGTGTCCCGACCAGTAACCTAGTTTCCAAGTTGGGGACAGGGAACTTTGTCTTAGGTCTTTAAAATAATGCCACCCTGTGGGGTATGTTGGTTCAGGCCTGTTATCCCACTACCTGGGAGGCAAAAGCAAGAGGATTTTTTTACAAGTTTGAGGCTAGCTTGAGCAACTTACTGAGATCCTGTCTCAATATAAAAAGTATTAACAGGGGCAGGGATGTAGGCCAATGGTAGAGCGCTTGCCTTGCATGCATAAGGCCCTGAGTTCAATAACTAAAAACAAAGCAGAGCTCCCCACAGGAAGGGCAGGTGTGTTCAAACTATCTGCCCATCATCGCCTTATACACGATGTGGCTTATGCGCCAGGCTTTGTTCTGAGTACTTTACACTCGTTTTATCTCCATAACGCCTTTTCTCAGGCTAGTACACTGACGCCAAGAGGCTAAGTCATTCGCCCAGGATCACGCAGCTCCCGAATGCAGATCATGCCTATCCTACAGACAGGCCACTGAGTCCCTGGCAGGCTCCTGCGAAAAAAACGTGTAAAGATCGAACCAGCAAGCAAACGCACGGGACGGAGAGCAAGCTACACGCAAGATTAGGGTTCCAGCCTCTAGGGTCTACAGGGAAGAAATGGCCGAATACTCTGAGGGTCCTGCCTGAGCCGAGGGGGTGCGACTAGTAGGTAAAAGGACCAATAGCAATGCAGGGGCGGGAGAATAGGCTTGTTGAGGGCAGGGCCTATGGGAGATACGCCAATGACTGTCCAGGGGCAGGGGCTGCGCTGGTATGGGCAGGGCCTGTGGGCTGCCGGCCAATGGTGATGTGGGGCGGGGACTGAGGACCGGGAGGACGGCTAAGGTGGGGCCTGTGGGCGGCGAGCCTATGGCGATGTGGGGGTGGGGTCTGAGGGCGAGCGGGCGGGGGCACGGAGGGGGCGGCGGCGGCGGCGGCGAACAAAGAGGCGGCGGGCGCGGGTGGCCGAGCGGATCCGAGCGGAGCCGAGCCGGGCCGAGCCGGGCCGGGCCAGGCCGGGGCCAACGATAGCAGGCACAATGCGGGCAGCTGAGCAGGGGTCTACCGGTCCCTGAGCCCCACGCACCGGGCAGCACGAGAAGCCCGGCGCAGCGCCCGCGCCGCCCGCCATGGCCGGGGTCAGCTACGCGGCGCCCTGGTGGGTGAGCCTTCTGCACCGGCTGCCGCACTTCGACCTGCGGTGGGAGGCTACCAGCAGCCAGTTCCGGCCCGAGGACGCGGACTACCAGCAGGTGACGCGCGCCCCCGGGTGCGGGGTCAGGGGCCCTGGGTCATGGCCCCTCCCGAGGGGCTGGAGCTTCGCCATCCCCTTGCGGGGTCGTGGCCCTTTTCCTTCTAGGGGACCCCTCTGGTCGGTTGATACCTCTCCAGGGGTTGACGTCGAGCCCCCCTTAGAAGGTGTTCAGTCCCTCCGAGTCATCAGGGCCTCCTATCTGGATTGGTGGAGCTGGCTCCCTCCTCTGATGGACCCCCTCTGATCCTATGGGTTCCTGCAAGGCCCGTCTCCATCCTTTGGGCGGTCAGCTGCTCCCTAGCAGAGCCCCCCACTAGCCGAGGCTACAACCCTGGGTTCAGGCAGGAGGGGATTCCGTGTCCTCTTCCCCCAGCTAGGGAATCCCTCTGCCAGGCCGTTGGTGGGTGAGTAGCCTGGGCCATGGCCAGCCCTCTGTGGCAGCTAATGACCCTTTGCTTCATGGTCAGGCTGTGGGATGTACACAGGGTGTCATGTGGTTGTGGGAAACCAGGGTGCCAGCAGTCTTTCAACCCAGGGTGGGAAGTGAGGCCTGGCTGAAGTGGGGTGAAGTGGGCCTCAGTCTGGGCTGGGGGCCATGGGGCACTTGGCAGCCCTCTCCCTGCAAAGCCCTAAGCCTGGCATCTTGCCAGGTCCCAGCACCACCCCCACCATTGAACCACTGTCATTTGAGTTCAGAGCAGGGGAACCAGGCTGGGCTGTGGGCTTTTCCTTCCCATGCCGGATTCCAGAAACAAAGTGGTCAGCCACCTGGTCACCCGAGCCCCTCGGAGTTCCCCCTGGTCAGCAGCCTAGTAACGAACTGCTCCCAGGGCAGTGTCATATCGCTCTGCAGCCACCGTGATCCTGTTGAGAAGTTCAGGATCAGAGTACAGGGTTGTCCCTGCTCCCACTCTATGCCTACCTGACCCCAGCTCCAACAGCTGATGGCGTTCCTGAGATTAGAGAGGGGGCAAGGGGAAGGAAGGCCTGAGCCCACCCGGGGATTTGGGGGGAAGACCCGCCCTGGGTGGGGGGTGGGGGGGACACATGTGCTTCTCTTACTGTGTGATGATGGTGTTGTCACCCTCCTTCCTGGAAGAACTATGTGAGCTATTCTTAGAAAGTTGCCTACCTAGAATTTGCCTGCTCGCCAGTTCCGATGGTCCACTGGCACCTGGGGCAGCCCGGTAGCACATCCTGTGGTCAGTGGGCTGCCACCTGAGCCTCCTGCAGCCTTGAACTTGCTGTTGATTTTCCTGCACAGCTGTGACAGGGAGAGGGCGAGGCTCAGTGCCTGCAGCCCTTGGGAATCTGAAGGTAGTGGTCCAGGCCCTCTGCTCCACTCACCTCAGATCTGTAGCCCTAGCTGAGCCAGGTCCTGCCTGCTTTTGCTCCTGTGCTCTGGGCTCCACTGTGGGAGGCCTCTGACTCACTCTCCCTCCTGCCTCCTCTCCCAGGAGCAGAATTAGCCACTGAATAATTCAGGATGTGGAACCCAGCCTGGCTCCATCCCCCGCCGCCTCCGCTCCTCAAGTGGGGCTGTTGATAGTGCCCCTGCCCTCTTTGAGCTGGTTCTTTAGGCTCAGCCTCTCTGAGCTTCAGTCCTTCGTCTTGGAGTTGGAGCTGATAGTGATGGGTTTGCCCGGTCACCTGGGAGGAAAGCAGGAGCTCCCTTTCTGGGTGGGTGGGCAGTGGTTTCTCACAGGCCCCTTCACATCTTCCCTGGTGAGGTTTTGCTAACTCTGTGGGTGGGGTTGTCGATATGTGCATCTGGGGGTGGCTGTCCTGTCCCACTGTGCCTAGTGACCTCTCACCCATCTTGACCTGGAGTACCCTCTCAACAATCCACCCTGCCCATACCTGAACTGTGCTCCACGAGGGAAGAAGGAAGGCTTCTCTGTCTCCCAGCATGGGAATACCAGGCTTGCCCTTTGCTCTCTTCTACACGCATGGCCCACTGTCTGGAACCTGGTGGAACCCACAATTAGACTCCCAGTCAAGCCCTGTGTGGAGCTGCCTGTACTCGCCTCCTTTCACATGGGACCCTGCAGCTGTCTGTATTGTACAGACTATGGCTTAGCCTCATTCAGGGAGCATTGATTGGGGGCAGAGTCTCTTCCCTCAGACTGTTTACCATACCTCCTGGAGCCCACAGCAGGGGTAAATTGGCTGGCTGTTCCAAGGACCTTGCTGCTACCCGGACTCCAGAGCCTCAGTGGGCCATGCAGCTTTTACAGGTGATGGTGTGGGTTCACATCCTGTAGTGTTGAGACTGAAGGTCTCAGAGCATGATGTGTTCCCCTCTTAGATGCCAATAACAGTGCTGAGTGGAGGGACGGGCAGGAGTCAGTCTCCTGATTGAGTTCTATGGGTGCTGATGGCATCTTCATGACGGAAGGGGCTCCTCCAGTCTTATCCGTTTCGGTACTGGTTTCTTTCCCATTGGCTGTCCCCAGGAGCTGCTGACTGCGCTCTTCTAGGGTTAGGCCACCCCAGCATGCCTCAGCTCCCCCACCCCATTGCCTCACTGGGGTACTTGGAATTTAGAATCTGTGTGGGTAGGTGCATTCACCTCACAGGGAGGAACTGAAGTCCTAGCCGATGTCCTGAGACCCAGAGGCTTTGGGACCTGACAAGGCCCACAACTAGCTCTTCCTGACTAAAGCCTTGATTTTCATTTGGTTCTGTCCTGGCTGCCTGCAGTCTTTATGCTTGGGCATCCGACCCCTTTCCGAGTAGACTAGTGATACCTGGGTACAGCCCGCTGACCTCATTTCGGTGTGTGTGTGTTGGGGGGAAACATCTGTTCTCCTGTCCTCTATCAGCCCTCATGACCCAACATGACCCTGCTTCCTCAGGTACTGGGGTCGAATTCATGCTCTTTGCTTCCAGTCTCTCTGTGTCTGGGTCACTGTCTCTACCTGTTCAAGACAAACCAGGAGCTATTTGCTGATGGAGAACTGTTCTGGCTAGTGATGGGATCAAGAGCAGGGGCTGCATGCAAGGCTTGGCAGTCTGGGAGAGCTATCTGAAGCAGTTATTACTTAGCCTGTCATGGAAACTGCCAACCCAGGTTTGAGACTCACCGACTCTCTCTCTCACCGTATACCCACGCCTGGTATACAGTGGGTCATTGTCACACTAGCCATTCAAGTAGTTGGTAGCACTTGACCTGCCATTTAGCCAGCATGTGGGACAATTTCCCATTAGGCCTGAGGCTCAGGTGGCTAATAAAACTTAAGGGAAGCCAGCCATGGTGATACAGACCCCAGCTACTTGACAGGAGAAAAGTTCAAGGCCTAGCCTGGCCTGCAGAATGAGTTCAGAACCAATTTAGCTGATCTTTTAAAAAGAGGGGATGGGGATAGGGAATGCAATTCAGTGGTAGAGTACTTTCCTAGCATGTGCAAGGCTCTGGGTTTGAGCTGCAGGAACGCCAACTAAAACGGAAGGAGGGACCTAGGTGGGATAGGCTAGGGTTTGAGAAAAAGTCTCAAACAATGGCAACGAATCAGGCAAAGGTGTGATGAAGGGAAGCCTGGGTATATCCTCTGCCTGTATGGCACAGGGAAACATGCTGCCTAGGAGGTACTGGCTGTCCTGTGTCACAGGCCACTTTTTAGGCTCCAGTTGAATACCCCTTGGGACCAGGAATCTGCTCACAGAGCTTGCAACTGGCTCATAAGAGCTGGGCCCCTGGGTATACAAGGTCAGCAGCATGGCAGGCAGGTTGGCAGCTTGGCTGTGTCCTCTGGGCAGGGCTGGCTCCATTGTCATCCTCCCAACAACTCAGGAAATGAGCTCTGTCTGAAAAAGCAGCCTTATCGCCTGTTTCCAGCTTATACAGGCAGCGCTCGTCTGTGGGACACGGGTGTGTATGGGGGGGGTGACCATGTGAAGACAAAGGATCCACCCAGCTGGAGTCTGTCCATGCGCCTGCAATTTTTGGGATGACGCCACTTGAAACCAGAGTTGTATTGCATACTGCCATGTCACTTTCGTTCATTTGTTCTTTCCTTCCCCCCCCCCCCACTCCCCAGTGCTGGAGATCAAACCCAGGGCCTCCTGCACGCTAGGCAAGTGGTCTGCCACTGAACCACACCCAAAGCTTTGTCTTACTTTTTTAAAAAAATTGTTTGCTTTGTTTTTGAATTGTGTATATGTGCATGCGTGGTATGTGTGTATGTATGTATATATATATATATGATATGCATGTGTGCGTGTTCAGTGTGTGTGTGTGCGTGTGTGCGTGTGTGTGTGTGTATGTGCATTCCAGTATGTGATTATGGGCAGAAATGTGCCATGGTGAACATGTGAAGGCCAGAGGACAACCTTAGGTGTCAGCCCTTACCTTGTACCTTATTTGAGGTAGGGTCTCTTATTTGCAACTGCATGGGGATTCCCTTGTCCCTGCCTCCCATCTCACCATACACAGGAGTGCCAGGATTTCAGACACACTACCATGTTCAGCTTTATATTGGTTCTGGATATCTGAACTCAAGTCATTGTTCAGACGCGCTGTACCCACTGAGCCTTGAAGCCAGTATGTTAAGGATGACCTTGTCTCTGCTGCATCAATACCCTTGGTTTGTGTGGTGTTGTTGATAGAACCCAGGGCTTCATGCATTCTAGGCAAGTGTTCTACCAGCTGAGCTATGCCTCCAGCCTTTGCTGCCTGCCTAGGTTAAATACTGTGTACTTTGGACATGACCACTCACATGCTGCTGGGTGCTTCCCCAGCATTTCATAGTGTTGGCCAGAATTCTGAAGTTGCAAGTGAGAAAAGAAGGCCAAATACAGAACCCTTCTACCACTACTACCCTGCTTTCCCCACTCCCAGTCTAGAGTTGGGTGGAGGCTTCTAGAGCAACCCCTGGGTAGGAGATGATGGTACAAGAAGCAGGGCCCCTGTACTGGGAGAGGCAGGTAAGTCCCTACTGGGCCCAGTTGACTATGCGTGTTTGTGCATTTATGGCCTATACTGAATTCCAGGGGAGA